CTAAATGAAATCCAAATGCACATAAAAAGCCTCGCCTAATTCAGTAACCTTTCAGAAATCAATATATCTGCCTTTCTAATTTAATCTCTTTAAATACATATGTTAGCTCAAAATTAGGAAAACAAAGTTTGTAAGAGAAATAAAAGAACAAAATAGTATTTGTTTGTTATTAATGAATAGTTTTAGGTTTTATAACCAGACAACTATTATTATTCAGACTATTTAGACACCCAAAAATGTCAACCAAGTTCCATTTTCATAAATTTTAAAGTTAGTTTCTCAAATGCAACAAAAGATTGTTTGAAAAACAAATAACATGCGTTACTAGAAAAAATAACATCACCAATACCACTACAAGATCACCTGGGAGCCTTTATTCCCAGTCATAGCAACCTTAAAGCAAAACTATTTTCCAAAGCAAGGGCTTTCAATAGTAGTAGCATTTTCACCTACCGCTTATATTCTAGAATGGTGATTGCTATGAGCACTGTTTTGTTATCCAAGCATGCATTAAACTAGTTGTTATATTATCTGGTGTTTATTATTCCCAGTGCTACAAATAAGTCTAAACCAAGAGCCTAGAACTTTTAACTGACTCCAATTACATCCTGATGTATCAACATTATCATCTGTTTGAACAAAAAAAAAAAGAATCACCTTGGCAAGTTAGAACAGTGATATCACCAAAATATTCTTCTTGCAACTATAGCAACTAGTTCTATACTTACTTCTCTTGAAGTAAACTCCACTGAGTTCAGTAGAATTCACTCCTAGAATTGCTTTCCAGGATACTCTTGCTTAGTATTTTGACATCAAATAAACTTTTGATGCAGCAAGACATACAACCGCAGTAATGGAAATAAAGAGGCAAAAAGTTGTAAGCATGAAAGCAATAGTGGGAGCAACAACTATTAACATTATTTAAGAGGACATATCCCTTGGGTAGTGAGGGACGCTGAAGCAGATCTCAGGGTCAGCACACTTACTAGCTACAGCGCTTTCCCTTTGTTCATGTGCAAGGCAATGGGACGGTCCCTTCCCTCGATCGGCACCAAGCAAGATGAAGGTACAAGCAGATCGTCCAAAACAACTTCTTAAGAAGGGGATGCCTAAACGCGCACCTGTGGCTACCGGCAAGCCACCAATTCTGAACCCAACTGCCTCGAAATGTATTGGACGGAGGACGGTGCTCGAGTCCTGCTTCGGTAACGAAAGCAAGAACTTTTTGCAAACCTCCTAAGAAAAGCCCTTCCGAGTTGGCCAGGTGCGCCTCTGGCAAAACCACGCAAAATCCTAGTCTAGCCGGGGNTGTGGACTTCAACTCCCAGAGTTCCTCAGCAAAGCTGGCTGAGGAACTCTGGGAGTTGAAGTCCACAGGTCTTAAAGTTGCCAAGGTTGGAGACCCCTGGTCTATAGGAACAGAGGTGTGAGTGGAACATTTTAGCTTATTACTTCCCAAAGGCTTTAGATCAGCTCTTGGAACTTCTGCCATCAGTTTCAACAACCGAAAACATTCTGTATTTTTAAGAATAGAAGGAGAAACATGCAGCTGGACATTTAATTCCAAAGCCAGAAATGCTACACCGCACTGTATCTGATTTCAAACTATTATTAAAAAGTATACGTAAAATATAAGCAGTGATGCAAATTACTGTGTCACGTTGTAGCATTCTAACCAACAAGTTCACTGAATTGCTAATGCTCCACCGCACATCTGGAGGGTGCCAGGGTTGAGGAAGCTTGTCTAGGCCTGGAATTCTGGATGTTCCTCACAGTGATGTAGATTTTCCAAAGATTTTATACTCTCTTAATTAAGTATGATTTAGCAAGTTCTCAGTATTTTGTAAACAAAATTGTGAATATATTAATTTTTAAGCGCTTTATAAATTATAGCATTTTTTTTTACAACCTAGAGTAGCTGCACTAAACCCACCGATTTAAAAAAACAACAACTCAAAACCACGTAAAGCAGGTTAAGTGTTGCACTAAAAATCTGGATTTTACTTGGAAATTTATTTTTGCTGGGTCAACATTTAAGCATGACAGTCCAGTAGCATATACAGCACTTATCACTTTGTGTAATTAATATTCGATGACAAAAAAAATGAAGGGATTGAAAATATGTAATAATTTTAGCACACCTGGCGAGCTGTTTTGGAACAGGTAACTTCTAAAAGATACCATTACCATTCTTATATTACTTCATATATATTATTTCTGGTAGGTGGGTATTGTAATATTTTCTACCGAGGAATATCCCAGATTTGGAATGTTCTCTCTCTAAACTTTTTCTACATTTCTAATAATGTCCACTGGAAGACAACTGAGGAATCTCAATGAAGTATCACAAGTGCCATTTTGGTAGCAGAAATAAAGAAAAACACCAGAATTACAACTGGTGAAAAAAAACACCTCCGACAAGTACTCTATATGTACAATCTAAAGCTTATTCTAAGAAAAATATGTACAGCATTAATTCTACAAAAAGTCTCTGCTTGCGGGTCTTTTCTTGTGTAAGATTGAGAGTATCTTGCTGACATATCGACGAGGTACCACTCGCCATCTTCAGGCTTGTGCCTTCGGCTTCGTGCTTGTGCGAGCAAAGCATGATCGGAGCTGCCGTCTTTCTATAAATATTGGCGGGGGTGTGTGGAGTGCTGGCTTTGTTGCTGTAAGNAAAACAAACAAAAAGCCAGGAATGCAAATTTATAAAGCAGTGGTTTAAAAAAACCAGAAAGGAAATCTAATTTTTTAGAAAACATTGGTTACCATTTTTTATAAATTTGCATTCCTGGCTTTTTTGTTTGTTTTACTACACTGCCCAATTCTATTGTTAATTTTATTCCACTATGTCAAATGTTGTTTCCCAATAAATAACCATGATTTCTGTGTAAGATGGGCTGAGACACTCAATCACAATGACACAAAAATCCTGATTTAGTATTGTTAGGAAATAAGGTCACAAATCAGAAAATTCTGATTCAGAAATATCCTAAAAATCTACCAAATTCAACAAAGAGCTGCTATATATCTAATATTTTTTAAATAAAATCAAAATACAGTTGTTCTCTCTTATATAAAAGTTTATTCTTGTTCAATATTTCAAGAATGGCACAGAACAAATCAATAACTAATGTGTGATTGCTCTTTAGCAGTTAAATAAGCCAATTATATGCACTAAATGAAATCCAAATGCACATAAAAAGCCTCGCCTAATTCAGTAACCTTTCAGAAATCAATATATCTGCCTTTCTAATTTAATCTCTTTAAATACATATGTTAGCTCAAAATTAGGAAAACAAAGTTTGTAAGAGAAATAAAAGAACAAAATAGTATTTGTTTGTTATTAATGAATAGTTTTAGGTTTTATAACCAGACAACTATTATTATTCAGACTATTTAGACACCCAAAAATGTCAACCAAGTTCCATTTTCATAAATTTTAAAGTTAGTTTCTCAAATGCAACAAAAGATTGTTTGAAAAACAAATAACATGCGTTACTAGAAAAAATAACATCACCAATACCACTACAAGATCACCTGGGAGCCTTTATTCCCAGTCATAGCAACCTTAAAGCAAAACTATTTTCCAAAGCAAGGGCTTTCAATAGTAGTAGCATTTTCACCTACCGCTTATATTCTAGAATGGTGATTGCTATGAGCACTGTTTTGTTATCCAAGCATGCATTAAACTAGTTGTTATATTATCTGGTGTTTATTATTCCCAGTGCTACAAATAAGTCTAAACCAAGAGCCTAGAACTTTTAACTGACTCCAATTACATCCTGATGTATCAACATTATCATCTGTTTGAACAAAAAAAAAAAGAATCACCTTGGCAAGTTAGAACAGTGATATCACCAAAATATTCTTCTTGCAACTATAGCAACTAGTTCTATACTTACTTCTCTTGAAGTAAACTCCACTGAGTTCAGTAGAATTCACTCCTAGAATTGCTTTCCAGGATACTCTTGCTTAGTATTTTGACATCAAATAAACTTTTGATGCAGCAAGACATACAACCGCAGTAATGGAAATAAAGAGGCAAAAAGTTGTAAGCATGAAAGCAATAGTGGGAGCAACAACTATTAACATTATTTAAGAGGACATATCCCTTGGGTAGTGAGGGACGCTGAAGCAGATCTCAGGGTCAGCACACTTACTAGCTACAGCGCTTTCCCTTTGTTCATGTGCAAGGCAATGGGACGGTCCCTTCCCTCGATCGGCACCAAGCAAGATGAAGGTACAAGCAGATCGTCCAAAACAACTTCTTAAGAAGGGGATGCCTAAACGCGCACCTGTGGCTACCGGCAAGCCACCAATTCTGAACCCAACTGCCTCGAAATGTATTGGACGGAGGACGAAGGTGCTCGAGTCCTGCTTCGGTAACGAAAGCAAGAACTTTTTGCAAACCTCCTAAGAAAAGCCCTTCCGAGTTGGCCAGGTGCGCCTCTGGCAAAACCACGCAAAATCCTAGTCTAGCCGGGGAGGGAGGGAGGGGGGGGGGCTGACTGCGCTCTTGTCCGGAGAGGGACGGTAAGGCGGCTGACCGAGAGGGGGAGGGAGACCTCGCTTGCAACAAAAGGTCGCCTTCCTTCCCGCGGCGAATGCCACGAAGGTATCAACCCACTGGGCTAGCAACGAACCCTCCGAGCAAACGCTTTCGGGCTTGCCTCCCCCCCCCCGCCCCCCACCGGCGAGAGAGCCGGCCCAGGCCATAAAGGAGCGCGAGGCCAGAGGCCCAGAGGTTCTCGCGCGGAGCGTTGCCTTCCAACCCTGCCGGGGATGCCCCGAGTACCCCAGGCCAAGCCGGACCGAGCTTACGTAAAGCGGCGGCGGCGGCACCACCGAGGATCGCCGCCAGCAAGAGCATCCCGGCAAGATCGGGGCCTCCAGCCCGGCCCCTCTACGCGGCCTACAAGGGCGGGAGAAAACCATGGCTAAGCTGGCCCTCGCACCGAGGGGGCTTCCGGGTTGGCCTTCCGCCGAAGGACTCTCACCTTGTGGATTCTCTTCAGCGCCATCGCGGCGGAGCCTGTTGAGAGAGGCAAGCAGGAAGAAGGAAAGGAAGGAGGGGGACTATTTTCCGGCGGCGGAGGGAGCGCAGAAGCTTTTCGGCGGAAGCGGGAAGACAGGTGTGGGTGCCGGCCTGGGAGGGGGGGAGCCCGGTGTTCTCTATTGCCTTCTTTCCCGTCGCCCCCACCTCTTTTGCTCGCCTGCCGCCCTTTTACTGCCTTCCCTCGCCTGCTCGCTTCTCACCGTCGCTCTTCCCCCTTCTCTCCCCCAGCGCGCTCGGGCTCTTTCACTGAGTGACTGCCTCACAGAGCAGGGACTGCTCCTGCCGCATCACTCCCCGCGCGAAGTTCTTTATGACGCGAGAGGTTAATAGGATTCCTCCGCTGGACGGAGTCGAGCGACCAAAAATCACGCATGCGCTTTTGCCTGTTGTTCTGCTTGTGGGTGCGCGGAGAAGCTTCGTGGTTTTTCAACCGATCGGGAAGCGGATTATACGCCGCGCACCCGGGAACAGGTGGCCGGACACGCCACGACCCGCTTCGGCCGCGGACAAATAATTATCCTGTAAAGAGGAAGAGGGAAGGCAGGCGGAAGGATACTCTCTCCTAGGAGGAGCAAAACGAGAACCCGAGGATTTTACCGCGAGATTGTGGAAATAACAGGAACTGTGGCTGGTTGGAGCGAAAGACTCGGGGAGCTGCCTGGAATTTGCTCCTCCTTCGCGATTTGCACGAAATAACCCCTTGGCACCCCTGTTACTTAAGAAAGAAAAGGACGCAGTAGATCTTCCCCAAATATTATTGCTGCTATTGTAATATATGCACAATCAAAACACACATGTTTTTCTTCGGGTTTGGTTCTGCGCCTTGGGTGTACAGGAAATACACCCCTTGGGTAAAGAACTGTTGGCGATCCAAATGTCGTAGTGCACGTTTTTCTGCACTCCTTTGAAAAACTAAAATGCTGTTTGTATCTCAAAATATATATATCAGATAAATTTATAAACTTTTCAGTCTAATATATATTCCCGTATCTTTTTAGGTAATCAAATTACCAGATGCCGGCCTGCCAGATTTCTTAATTAAATTACTATACCAAAATTTAGAAAAGCTCAAATGCTTGCATCCAGCAATTCTTTGTAAACTGCCAGTTTGAAAAGGAGATTCCAGAAAGTTCCATACAAACAGCAACATATTGCAAACCGAGTTATCCATATGTTTAGACTAGTGGTAGTCAACCTGGTTCCTACCGCCCACTAGTGGGTGTTCCAGCTTTCATGGTGGGCGGTAGGGAGTTGCTGTAACTCTGCTTTATAAATTTTATAAAGTAAAGTTACTTCCCTACTTTATAAATCACCATTACTGTGGAACCGGTGGGCGGTCAGAAAATTTTACTACTAACAGAGATACAAAAGTGGGCGGTAGGTATAAAAAGGTTGACTACCCCTGGTTTAGAGTGTAGAAACTACACAAACGTATTACACCTTGATTACCTCAAATTTCAGAGGCATATACTCTTACAATATCATCAAATTCTCTCTTAATAGCTGGTATGACTTGTCAGGGCCTTGCCAAGAACCATTAACTATTATATGAATTTTTT